AAATATCAATAGATTGAAAATTGAAATTAGTTTGTTATATCAAAGGAGAAAGGATCCATAGAAGTTTATTTTGCTTCATATATCTATACACATATTCATAAGATATACAATTTTCATAACGGGAAAAAATGTAAATAGCGTGCAGAGAAAAAAACAATCACGTTACTAAGTTCATTTAATAACTTCTTAAACCTTAACACACTGAATTCCTGTTCGTCACTCGAATTAAATTGCTGATTGGTTTGGTACTTTTATGTCGTATATGTGACGTATGAGGGATCTGCTGGAGGGTTCTGTAATTACTCCGCCTTAGCACTGATAGCATTAACCTCTAATAATAAGACTCACGCTATCCGGCGATCAGTTTCCTCCACCGCATCATAAGCTACAACAGGATTGGTTCAGAACATGCATACAACCACTTTTATGTGTGATAAAATGTCAATACAATGCATATATTAATTAAACTATTACCTTAAGCATAAAAGTGTCACTGTGCTTCGTGATTTAGCTGGACATTAAATGACTAAATACATACCAAGAGAGTTATATACACTGAATTTATATATAAAAATTGTCTCGAAAATGCTGAGCACATTATATTTTTTTACTCCCGTCAAGCGATTTTTTTTCAAATGGTTTATGATTTCTTAATTGTCCCATTGCTTCACAAAACATGCATATAACATAAACTTTAAGTCTGTACAAGAATACACAAACGAGAACTACAAAAATACCAACATAGCATACTAACGTGCACCAGAGCCACAGAAACGTCCAAAGGGATGGTTAAGAATTAAGAATTTCTACAAAATTTTTCCCATGAATTCCTATGAAAATACACAATTTCACACAGGAGTAGTATCATGAATTGCTACAAAAATGGAATCAACAACAACGAAAACAAGAAGTGACTCATACAACACTAGAGATCTATTGAAGTATTGATAATCTTACACGATAAAGGAAACTAATATGATGGTGATGCAGAGACGCTTATCCTTCCGAAACGCATAATCTTATGCTTCCGTGGCATGTCGATATTTACTGTATTAGTTTACATTTTCAAATGGTTTTGAAATATATATTTGCTGATTATGCAACACTGTAGGTTAGTACAATTTTGGTCCGCCAGCTGTTTACATCTGATTAAACAAACAGTCTTTCCTCTGCATGAACATTCTATTGCCATTTTGCGTGAAGCCCTGTGGTACATTTTGCTCAGTACATGAACAATGTGGATTAAGTGTGCAAAAAAAAAAAAAAAAAAAAACAAAAATGAGCAAATGACACACGATAGTGTGGATTCTAGAAAAATATTTAGAGTGTCGAATGAACAAATAAGACGTATATTTTCGTTTTTTCTGTATCATTCTACGTTATAGAGAATACTATTCAATAAAACAATGGCAACACATAAACAAAAGAAATAGTTACACAGAGAATGTAGTTATATTATTCCGTTTGAAAACGTTTTATTTTTTCTTTGGGGGATGTGTTTATCTTTCGTGGAATGGGGAAAAGGCGAAAAAAAGGTCTGTTGAAAATTTGGAAAACTACTTTATCATAGACAGATTTACATTGTACGAATTTTAACAAAGTAAAAAATACATGTAAAATTAACTGTTTTGATAAGGACTTCGATAAGGGAAAAGAACACTTGGTGGGAAAGAACTTAACCAGACGAAACCACCACGTTGCCAAATGTGCGTCTGGAACCGATGTTCGCTTAGGTGCATTCATTACGACAGTCACACTGTCAGTTTGTTGGATATCTGTTGTAAAAAGAAAGATGCTATTTTGAATTGAAAACGGATAACCTATTTCCACAACGGAATACTAGAATAATGTAATTGAACAGACATGTACACTAAAATGGAAGGAAAGCATGCATAACATCCACACTAAATAAAAACGGGAGAGATATTGGTCGACATGTTAACATGATAAAACAAGTAGCTTGTCGTTTTGGAAGTGTGTTCTGATGTAAAGATATTAGTTAGTTTCCTATAGTGATGAATGGCAATGTAAATCGAAATCACCTTTTGCTATCTTTGCCATCCATGACAAGAAAAAGAATTAGCGACCATGAAAACTATTATCTCTGCTCTCTTCTGTAAGGAGATCAGGTCCCTGTAACTAATTAACCACTGATATTAAAAACCTTATCTGCTTATGAATGCGCTTTCATAGCGCCGATATAAGCAGTGGTAATTTCTGTCATAACTCTTTCATTCATTTTATGACTATCGATCTTGTTCCCGGAAAGTTAAACGAGTACCTGTTCAACATCAATATACATGGCGTTAAGAAATAAAATGATAATTGCATTCAGTAACATGCTGGATATTGTGAGATTACCCAATAACAATTAAATTTGATTTATGATTTATTCTTATGGTTATATCATCACTTAAACATAAGAAACAAAGCTCAGGGATCGCAGCCGCAAGGTATTGATTGAGCCTTTAATGACAGAAAGGAATATTTCAATGGACTTGTATTTAGCGTTGTTATTTTCATGTCCGCAGCACTCCGATATCCGGATATCCTTTGCATTGATACAATATGTACAATGTCCATTCTGAATTGTTGACTTCGTAATGGTGCCTACCTTCATTTTCACTTTAAGAATAGTCGTGCAGAATTAAATTGCAAGCCATCATAAAAAGACGATTAACGTACATGTCACTTCATCACCTCTAACAGAATCGTTGTCGTTTGCATGAAAAAACATAAGAAGACAAAAGAAACTATTATATTGCACTCTTTATATACAAGGTTTTTCTCTCAAAAATGCATTTTTCGTTACTCTTATAAGGTGATCAGTCATCAGATATGGTATAAAAATAACGGTATTATCTCAAGTTAACACATGGGGAAATGATTGGTTTTCTCTCTGCACGAGAAATAAACGGTAATTATGGATAATTAGACTGTGGCCATCAACACCATGTTCATATATTGTCAATATTGTCAATAACATTCAATTTTTTAAATATAAATGAATCATTGGGAGGTGTATCATGTGTGTACCCCGTTGTTCAGTGGTGCAAGAAAAGTTGTATTTGACTTCAGGAAATAGTATGAACTGTGTAAATGCTATTTTGAAAAAAAAATGATATACCTAAACATACGATTTGTGATTGGCTATGTTCACTGTTAAATTCCGCTATTTTAAGATGTCTGAAAATAATATATTTATACGCAAAATTAAGACTCCTTCCACCTCTTTTATCAACAAAAATACTTGAAGGAGCCATTCCATCTTTAGCCTATTGATTCCTCTTACCCACGAAATGAGCGAACATGTTTTGAATTTGGATAAAAGCTCAACTTAACATGAAATGAAATATAAGCATAACAGTATAAGATTTTTTATGGTACCTTCAACTAGAAAAACTTCATTCGGACGATACAAAACTAAGGAAACGAATCTGATATTATCATATGATGTAGACTTCAAACTATATACTAAAAATATAAGAATCCATAACTTTAGATAGTTTGCCCAATTGAAAACACCAAACGGAAAGCCACGTGGTCCTACAGGTGACTCCACACCAGTTGATGACCGATCTAAATTTTGCTATCTGCTATTCTTCCTGATCAGGCATTTAAGTTTAAAAACTAAAATCACAAATATTTATACTTCATTTAATAAACTATTTTTTCCGTTCCTTTCACATTATAAATGACATGCGTTTAACAACTGAATGTATTTATCATGTGATGAAACTTAGTGCTATACTCTAGGAAAAACTCAACTCTCGAACAAGAGTTGGTTGCACACATAGGTGTATGAAGGACTCTAGTAACGAAATGCTTTAACATTTGTCATTCTTAGTTATGCATTTATGCAAACACTTAATTTGCATTTACACACAACCTGTTCGATTTTAACGTATGATTTCCATCAATAAAAGGTTTCATTTCCTATTCAAATATTTATGCGAACCTAATTCTACAGGTTGGAGCATCCTGGACAAGCTTTAAAACTCAGAAGAGTTATTGATTGGAGCCGAAGTAACAATAAAAGACCTATCATCAAAGCGAGTTTTAGTAATCGAAACAGGTCAGATAGAAACCAGAAGGTCTATAAATGTTTATGTATTTACAAATATTTAACATCATGATTGGATGTACAACACATTTTATTGTCTCACAGACGACTAGTGCTTTGTTTTCCAATATGTATACGAAACTTCTACGCCGATTGTTTCGTACAAATGACGCCATCAATAAATTGAAAGGGTTCATATCCCGCGCAAAACAGAATAACAGTCTCTATAACACGCTCTCGTGTTTCTATAAGAACAGAATTACGTATTCAGTTAGAAATATTAACGGATATTTAATACATTTTGTAGGTAAAACGACAATAAATATCACAAAACTATCTCCAAGCTTCTACCTTCCGTGTCGCTGACCATAACATAATAACGAAATAACAAAGATAAGATGATTTTATTTATTAAAGGTATAAAAAAGAAGGCAAACTTTTAATTCTAGGAAACAAGTTGCAGAAACAATATCAGTAAGTATCGTCAACAAAACTACAGCTAAACATAACACATAACCAACTTTTAAATGCATAGAGTTATAACTATGAAATCAAATCTGATATTACTGAGGTCTTGATCTGCTCAATCAAAACCAAATGTCAGCTAAATCACTTTACAGGATTAATACAACCCAGGACGATGATTAAGATATATTGATTATCAATAAAACACATCATATTAGCTAACAAACAGTGGAATAATAAAATATTTAGATACCCTGATCACACGATTTGAAATATAATTCATGTTATTTTGTAATTAACACTGCATTGAAATTGGTTGAAATGACTGAAAAATACCAATATTGAATAATCCAATCTGAAATTCATCCGATTTTTATAAGCCGTGTTTTACTGCGTATTGTGTATTGATAAAATGAGCTCAAATATTGCTTGGCGCTTCACCTAAAATTCACAGCGAATTTGAAATAAAATTTCAAAGATCTGTAGGGAACGGTAAAAGTGGTTTCCCGTTAAATGTTTGTGGAAGTCTGTCGGTAACCGATTGCACAGCTGGAGAACTTGAATATCTGTTACCGGCAACAACTGGGTTAAATAATGACGTCCTTTTCCGTTGATTGCTTGAAACGGCAACTGATGATGATATCAACGCCTTTAACAATAATATAGTAATAAATCCATCAATTGAAAACATCATATAAGGCGTAATAAATGTATTCGCAATTTTCACAAGTTTAGAAATAGTTTTATATGAAATCATTACAATAATAAGGACACTTATCTCAGTCAAAAACATAAAGATGGTCTTTAGAATCACTCATAGTGTTATGTGCGTTTCCTTTGGATGTTACTGAAATCGACCTATATGTTTAAAACGGAAGTGAACAATCATTTACTCTGATGATATATAAAATACGTTTGTATGAGGTTATTGAATGATATGTCATGAAAGATAGCCTAACGACAAAGAACATTTTCCCTAGAGAGGTTTTACTTGTTGCAAAGATTGTACAAAAGTAACACAATTGAATAGCATCTTCTAATAATTTAGCGCTAGATACAGCAGAGCCAAACATTCCCAAAATTAATAAGATGAAATAGGCCACAGATATAGGCGAAGATGTCCAGACAATTTTATTTTCTACAGGCAGACAAACCGTGACATGTAAACTATGACAAATCTAAGAGGCATTGTCTATCACCTGCAGTCTCTAAGAAATATACAAATAACACAAAACAGCATCTTACAATACAAATATAAATCGAGATATAGTAAAGCAAAAAACGGAATTGAATTGTACCATATAGTTTTCTTCCTTCAACATTACCATTATATGGAGTGTTGGCTTTTGACCCTGATGTCAACCAAATTGGAACTTTCGCAGTACCTCCATTGTTGAAACAATTCAAACTCTTAGCATCATTAAAAGAGAGATGAAACTGCTGTATGATGATTTTCGGCTCCCTTGTATCTAATTCGAAGTTTGAAATTGAAAGGTTTCATTCACTTGCTTATCGTTTGCACCATATTCCAAAGCTCGTTAGAGCTTGGCCGAGGGAAATTAAAATTAGTCGAAAAAATTATATAAATACAAGCCAGGGTACATTAGTCGCTGAATTAAGCTTTAATAAGTATCAAATATACGATGGCTTCGTGTAGATGTGTTAATGTTAATTCTAAATAAATGTAGGTTGAAATACGATTTTTTTTATTGTACTTACTGCATTAGGAGTGATATCCTGCCTCTTTTTCGTTTGTCTCGGTTCTGCCTTCTTATGTTTTGACTTCAAACATTCGTAAAGTCGAGAATGCCACAGGAGCGGGTTGTATACGTCGATCACTTCCACCTGAAAATATGTAAAAAATCAATTTTTACATTTTCTCATATACATGCTTTGTCTTGTTCTTTTCATTCAATCTATCGGCAGACACTCACCAGGTTTCATCGTACAAGGATAATAAGACTAGGTGTTCCAGTTCGGTAAAAGTCTTCTTCCGCATCGTCATATAAATCCAAGTAAATAAAGTCTTCTTTTCAAATGAGAACAATTACCAAGGCACAGTAACAAGCATCGAATTCATATCGCGCAAAAAATAGAATTTTCGCAATGAAGTCATTGTAAAGATCATATCTTTGCATCGTTTATAGATAAGCGTCTGATGTAGAAGAGCCCGAAGTGTCTTTGATCAAGTTCTATAAGTACATATATCTATGATCTACATTGTCATGAAGTGATATTAGCAAGGGTTATCAAGTATTTTTCTAATCTGTTTTGAATAGCTCTTTCACAAGTCAAGGTTCATACGAAAATAAAACATTACTTTTCGAGATGATTTTAGAATCAAATGGATATGTACGAGCATTCTTCTATGTACCTTCTCGAGCGATGATTGCAACGTTTGAATTGTCTCCTCTGACCAATTATCAATAACAGGAGGTGGCTGGAATGGTAGCAATAACTCTTGCGCAGCAACTGATTTTACAAGTAGTGTTCCATTTTCAGCAGGTAAAAACACGAAACATCCCTGTGGCTTGTCCTCACTTTGTCCATGAGGACGCTTTGTGGAGGTGTTTGACAGGACGTTTTCAAGCTGACCTATCATTATCATTTCCTATCGAAAATACAATTAACACAATCTAAATATTTAAGATTAGATCCGATATACCAATAGTATTGAATTGTTGTTAACATATCCATGTAATCTGATACACACAGTCACCAAATAAAGAATAGACTTTACTAGATGTTACCTAAATAGTTGTCGATAGCAATTTGATTGTCTTTTACAGTGTGTACTTGAAAAAAAGTGTTTTGTATTGGCTTCTCATCCGATATTAATGTATGACCATTTTGTAAAATGAACGACTAAAATATATACATTAATGAGTGTGCCTGACGACAGGTTTAATATGATCAAGAAGTAATGACGAAGCTCGAGGTAGTGCATACTTTTTTCAGTAGCAAATGGACAAGACATCTAAATGTTTGCTGATTCTTTTCTAAGTCATCCCAGTCAATTTTCCAACACGCCGTAGGTTGGGCAATCATCGGCTGTAAAATACACGAATTATCAGGCACGTTAATTAAGAATACTAAGATATTGAAAACTATTATCATGCATAGTATATCGTTTAACGTCAATTATTATGGAAACCATATTTGTTTTCAACTGAAGTGTTTGCATTAAGATAATGTCTGACAATAAATCTGCATTATCAAATATGATATAATCTCTTTCATCACACTGTAGAAAAGCAAGCTTAAGTTAATTATGTTCAAACTAAAATAACATTCCTGCTTCATTTATTATGAATAATCAGTAATTACCATTACCTTTATCAATCATTCTCCAAAATCATTTATTTTCATTTATCTTATCAAACAGGTTTCAAACATTGGGCATTTTGAATAAGGCACGGTGCTGCTGACGAAATAACAATAAAGAGGAAATCGCATAATGGAATAATGTCTTTAATCGTAGCTTACGAAACTTATTAGTAATTAGACGGTATTTATACATTTGAAACATGAATTTGTCTGGAGAAATACTCAATATCGGTGTCATGGGAACTACATACATAGTCTCAAAACCATAAAATTATCAAAGTGTATACCATTCATATATAACTTCCCATGATGAACTAAGATTTATGGCGATTTAAGAAAAAACAATTCCAGTGTGAATATTTTCAGGGCGTTATATATTGGATAACATTTAATGTGAAACATGGCAAATAATTTTTGCACCAGATGTGGTCTCCGTTGGGAATTTCAAATGCAGTGTAATGTTTAAGTTTAAGTTAAAGTATATATCTTATATATCTATATCATTCATATATATCATAAACAAGCTGTATTTGTGTCGTTACTGACAGTAGGCAAAATACACCAAAACAATACTCAAATCTGAATTGGAAGAATAACTGAAAAGAATTTTCTTAAGAAACCTAAAGAATTACTTGTTTTAGTAGCAGCAGTGGATTTCCTATTGCCACGGTTATCAGACGCATACGATGATTCCATATTTAGAACTTATTCGATGAGATCATATAAGGAAATCTCAATGGCCAAATATCATTGGCAAAATCCTCAGATCTTTCGATTTTCGGTCGGTGCAACCATTGCCCTTTGGCAGACAGTAACAACTAAAATCCTAATCCTGTCCTATCTCTCATGTGCCGTTTTGTTTGATGATATATTTTGAAAACACCATCTGATGCAATGATGACATTGATTACAATTTTTGTGAGAACAATGGCATTTTTATGTGACTAATATGTCCGAAAGACGTAAGATGTAAATCGTTATCCATTCGGAAATATGCATAACTGTATGTGACTGTATTAAAAGATTGCTACAAGTTTTGCATACGAGTACAAAGAAAAGAACGGAATAGTTCGATCGTTAACCTTACAATGTACGTGGTGATTTTGTAAAGGTGCAATTTTTGTGGTTGTTTTCGCGATTCCAGCTGATAAATGATTGTATTTGATATAGATAGTTATCCTGTCAATACGAATCAGAAATATGAAAAGGTAGAATATTAATATGAGCAGCATATATATAGATAAATGGAAGACCAAATTATTAGCTTATGTCGTGGGACTTCTTCGTGTCCATTTGAATGGAAATGCCATAAATAACATAATGGTAAATGAAACAAAAATCTAGATATTAAAACTAGTAATTCTCAGTGGCGATAAATCAAAATATATAAACACATTATAAATAATGGGTGAACGTACTGGAGGGAATCATTATGTACAAAAAAATTGAGAGAGAAATAAATCTTTATAAATCTTGCTCTGGGAATAGAAATGTCCAATGTTTGGTGAAAAAGATGGAAGTATATCAGTCAGTGACATCTTGAAATCGAATCAAAATTATTCTTCACATTAAGTATTATTTGATTGAACAAAATTGAAATAAAAATGTCAAGTCGTATTTGAGGGCAGGATTCAATCAATGCGATATATGAAATAACCAAAACCCGTCATCACTGTACAATTTCTCACTCAACACTTGCACATACAGATAGGTCCCTGTGGGCAAATCAATGTCACACAGACCGTATTGACGGTTCAGTCTGTTTCGTACACAATGATAAAAGCCAAATGTTTGCCGCTTAATTGGAGAAAGACAGTGAAAACAAGCCGAACCTAATACAGGGTTAGAAAACATGACATAGACGACTAATAGGATATGCCAGATTGACAGTGAACGGATTAAAATGAATTAAATATCGATCAGATTGTCTCAGTGCTGTCGGTATTGCACAAAAATAATGTATGGGTGTATACCTTAATTCAACTAGCTGGTGGTATACTTTGGTGTCTGAAGCCATCCTCGGTGTCGAAAGATGAGATGAGAATATCGTCGTAATTACGCTGTAAGGTTTGTTACTGATCTGTCACTTGCCACTATATACCACTACTTTAACATGATCACGGTCACATTGCGATCTCATCCGTTCTGCTGGCATATCGATAGACAGAGCGGCCCTTTAACAATGGTGGATACCACACAATATATTCTATACATATGTCGCAACTGCCTCAACTCACAAATATAATTGTGGTATACATTCTGACTTATACCCTTGTTCCTTATTAGCGACAGCTTTAATTTTCTCTTCTCTTTGACGAATTTTGGAAAATGTGTTGGAACAGAGAACACAGTACGGTGGCTGACTTATGCCATTTTGTAATTTCGTCTTTTCCATGTGAAAAGACGAGAATCAAAATTCTAATTTCTGGTTTTATCAAATTTTAATTCTCGTCTTTTTGTGCGAAATCAGAGTTTAGATTTGTTCAATCTCGTCTTTTCGAGGCCAAAATTTGAAAAGGCAACATTTAGGGTTTATTTATTCTGGTCTTTTCGGGGCCAAAACACAAAAAGAAAAGATTTTTGTACCCGAAAAGTCGAGAATAAAGGTCACTAATAAGCGTTCATTTATTTCTTTTTTCGAGCGTGGTTTATCGTCTTTTCGTCAGGACGTGGATTAATGTTTGTTAATTCTGATCTTTTCTGGGAGAAAAGACGAAATAACGATACGGCAAAATCAGCCATCGTAGTTCCGAACATACCCATATGTTGGACATTTTTTTGCAATTATGAAATATGTACAAATTATGAAATGTATTGATTAATGTGGCTAGAGCACTTCAACATCTTATTTTTCTGTCACTTTGTATTTTCCTTGGCCGCCTCCTAGGTTACAAATATGTATCCCTTAATGTCACTGACGGGTCTCTGAGGAACGAATGAACTGTATAATGCAGTTTAAAGATGTTATGGACTTGGGTGTCTTTTGTACAATTTTATATGAGGTTTGAAAGAGCCTTCTGAAAAAACTATGTTTTCTGCTTACAATGATAAAGTCCTGTCTACATGTGTATGGAAAATTATTTAATTTCCGTAACCCCCATCCTCCTCAACATCTCTATGGCTGCGATATAATCAGTAGATGGATTTTTAATAGGACATATGCAGGTACATGCAGCTGAAAAGTGAAATCGAGATATAAACACAAACATTCCAAGCGTAGCAAGCAAATTTCTTCTCGAACTCAGATTACGGGATCTTCTAACGATTCGCCATGACCGTAACACTCAGTATACTCAAACGCTCATAAAAGCTGTTTTACATGTATATTGCCGCACGAAAATGACAAAAAAAAAAAAAAAACCAAAAAGCACGGAAGACCATAAGTGAGCTTCGAGGAACGTGATTGAAAAAAATGAAACATAAAAAGCAGAATGAGAAATTAATTATCACATGTTCGCTTTGATGTATCTCTGATGGTAAAATCTTTCATATCATGTAAATATTAATCAATGAGGGCTTTAATAAGCTTAAGATTTTGTCAAATATTTCAGCAAAACTGAAATTTTTTCACACAAGTAATGAAACAGATATGTTAACAATTTTATTCAATCTTCGAAAGAAGTGAAAACAGATACCTTGAAAACAAAATTGATAGAGTAGGCAGTATTTCTGTTTACTAATACCTACCATTCCAAAGACGATAGAATCACACATAGCACTTGCGTTCATCAATCCGTTCACCTGTATCCGAAATATCGGCAATGATATGCCAAGAGCTTTGCTGGTTGTTGGGAACGTTTTCATCATGACAGAGTCAGGATGTAAGGTCTATAAAACAATCACAACAGTACATTTATATATGCAAACTATTGATCATTGGGTGTCAATATTACTGCAGCTGTTTGATAGTACAACAGGTGCTGAATTTCATACGGGGGCAAAAATCCCAACTTTTTGTTTTCCTTTATAAACGTATTTCAGCGTTTATGGGATCATGTTATCGTGTTATAGCAAATGTGTCGAAATAATGTTCATCATTTCAAGTATTATGAGCCCATTATGCGTACCAAATTTACTTACAAATTGTCCGTGAAAGGGTAGCTGTGCCGGATTAATCAGTCTCTCGTGTAAATCACATTTGATAACAACATCAGTATTCGCTGGAAAATGCAGATTTATTTTACAAACAATGAAACGCAATGAAAATCCCATGCATTAATTTGTTTCGACAGATGTAAAACGTTTTAAACTTCAAATTGTTTTAGGTTAAATTTACGACTTGAAGACGACATATCCGGTTTGTTTGGTCAATTTCCATTCATCGTTGTAAATAAAAATTAACATATTTTAGTGCTTAAACCAATGCGATATCGTACATAGTGCTCAATTGTGATTTTATAACTACACAGTGTAATAACCGTTCAATGAAAAACCATCAAAATGGCCTTAAGTATGTTTCTATTGAAAGCAGTAATGTTGTTTGCCTATAAACTACAGTTACGCAGTCAAGCTGGGATATTTAAAGACAGGTATTACCTTAGTTTATAATGGATTTTGTTTCATTGGTCAAATAACTCATTTAACTTTTGGTTATGTCACATATAATAAATGTAAATAATTGAAAATCTGAAATTTGAATTAGTGTTTAAAGCGGTTTCCATCGATGCTTGTGTACATCACTTAAACCTGATTACCCCGGCAACACTCGTATTACACTACAAAATCTGTCGTCAGCTCTTTCCCATTGTTCGATTTCTTAACAATGAGATGAATTGCATTGTCGATAAACAATATGAGGACAATCGTTATTGTGACAAGCATGCCTGATGTTTGCTGATAATATTAATAGTAAAACAACAGTGTCTAGAGGATGCCTTGGGATGAACATTCATTGATTATACTCAGATTAGTAGCGATTTCTATTCACTGATAGAATATCTTTAATGTTTATTTAGAGGCTGCATGTCAACTGATTTTTCTACACAGCTAATAAATTGCGTCTTCCTATTGGTAATAATCTCATCATTGATCTGGAAAAAAACACAGGTACACTGGCAATGCCGAAGATATCAGCTCAGTAATAAATTATATATCACAATTCAAATATTTGTACAAGTATATGCCAATCAGATAATGCAAACACTGAATAACCACGTTCCAGTCCTACGACTGCACTTATTGAAAAAGTCAGCAATTTTATTGCAATCCAGCCTAATTACATGTAATTACGTATTGAGCTGTTTTGAATTGTGATTTAAGAATTCTAAATCTACTTATTCACTCACATAAAATGAATGACTTAATTGAATACGTGTCCATTAGCAACCTAGACAATCATCATAAAAAATCTACATGTATAAATCTACTTTGATGGTGCAGCTAATCCCATTGTTTGCATTTTCATGTCTGGATTTAGGTCTAGGGGTCAAGCGTAACGGTCAAAGTGTTCATGACATGAAGAACGGTTCAGTATCAAGTCATACGTAGAAACACTGTTGGCTGTATGTAATAATTTAGTGGTGTGATTACAAAATAAGTTAGTATCAAAGTTCCGGAAACAAGTAATTGTCATGTTAATTTGATCAAAAGTTGTCTGGATCTTGGATTAGACACGACTGAACAGTGTGCAATTTGCTAAAACAAAGCAGTGAAAATAACCCACCATATGAGTAACTTATATTTAAGGGCGTAAAAGAAGCTCTGATCAACAACTTTCTTTCAATAATTTGCAATTATCATCTGACGCACTTTCGATAGAGTTTGAACTTCAGATACATAAGCCATGCTACATGTTCTCTCACATAACATATTAGGGATATAACGTTGATACATTTAAAACTAGACAAGACAAATAATTACGTGATATTAATGCCACATTATCTCCCTAATTTCGATTAACGTACCTTTCAAATTAAACTTTCAGAAATTTGTGCACTTTTATATATTAAAATGCAGTTAAGGTAACATTATCCGTCAACTTAATCACATGTTACTACATCATATATGATTATCCTTTCACATAAACGCAAACCTTTGATATATTCTGCCATTACTTCTGTTAATAGTACTCAAATATATTCCAATGAAAACTAGTATTACAATTTGCGTCGTCACCTTTGTGTTTGTGAAGTCATCTATTGCGATTTACTCTGACATCTGACCTGCGGAACCACTGATGGAAGCATGTACTTTTCTATCTAATATTTAAACCATTGCATTTATTCTCATCGATGCACTGATGAACTGATTTCTTGACTCAGCTGGATGACTATGTAGTTAATCACTTAAAGACTTAAACAGTTTGAAAGAAATAACTTGATACTGATTTTTTTCGAAACATAACATCCATAATACTCCTTTTTTTGTCGAGGGCAATATCACTAAATACATGTACGTGACACTGCACAACTTTAATGTTTGTGTTTTGGTGTACCTTGTGCTATCGATTCATACAACAGTAACCAATAGACAATCCATCTGTTGGCGAAAGACAAGCATGAAATGGAGCAGGAGTTGGCTTGAATTAACCTCTTCCCTCTGATCGGAAAATGGTTTATTTGTATGTGATTTCATAAGATATCTTACATACAGGCTGTTTAACTTCTAAAGGGCACTAGTGAGATTTGACCTTCAACATATATATAGCTTTAACTTGATGCTTTGATACTTTGGTGTCAGAATGAACCACTTTCAAATAGTATAAAAATGTACACGTGTTTTCAATATCAAAGGCCAAAAACGACAAGAAAATACCAACATGTCAATATAATCATAATCCAAACTCAAATTCAATAAAACTAGGGCAAAATATGAACAAAACAAAACTTTAGACGGAGAGTCCAGAAAAAGTGCAGGGAAAATAAAACCATGTGTTCCAGAAGACTTCCGTCTTGTATATCTCGGTCGTTCCAAGCAAGTAATGGCATGTTCTCAAATGAGAACAAGGTCAACTAACAACATTATCCGCAGGTAAACTAACGAGCATCAAACATCAGCAAAATCGACGAAACAAAATACATGGAAACGAATTACTAACAAAAGAATCTGTTAAAATAAAGTCAGAAAAGAATAAGGCCAGGTTTTCCGGAAGTTGAGCGTCAGCTACTTCAACGAGGACATCCGTTTTACGATCTTGGTCAATCTTTATCATTTTCAGGTACAATATACATTATATATATTCATGTGTAACAAACATTAATCGTGACAATAACAAGTTGCTCTTCATATTAAATTGCATTCCAATTGGCGACAAACCAGCAAAACTGTGTTCTGCATTAATGAAACACCGTGAACTATGAACAGCAATATCATGCGCAGCCTTGAAAAGATGCCCATGGTATCAATCTGACGACAGTACTGTTGACAACCAAAGGCATATCTCAAGTTTCTAATAACAGAAATCCTATGCAGTTTGCGTTTGATCCGATTAAATTACTACGTTTAACCTTTCGGCAACATACAGTGTTGTTGTAAATTGATTACATTGTAACTAATTAATTACATGTTGTGATGTTTACTTGCGTGGTAAAGCGGTTAAAGTAAGGCAAGTCCCACCTTTGAGCTTGCTATTCCCGTCCACAGTATGTCAGCCAAGGGCGACGTCGTCCCTCGTTTTACATGTATAGGGAATCACGTTTTGTCATTTTCCCTTTAGTCTGTTTTGTCTCTTTATTTTTACATCATTGGTTTCTACATACGAAATATTAACATGTCTACTTCCATGTCTGTATCATATATATTTCATGTTTAATGTACAATACCAATTTCTGTGTTATTCTATTCTGTTTCTTTACTCTAATGCATCTGCATGTATCAATTCAAAGAAATGCACAATTTTCTATTCGATTTTCGATTGGTATGAACATGTGTCTTTGCCTTGGATAATTTTGATAAATTTTATTTTATGGTGTTAGTGTTTTAAAGCCGTTAATCAATTTTGTTAACTTAAGGACATGAACGTTAATACAGCATTAAATAAAAAATTTATCAAAAAATCACCTCAGTGACAATTTATCAACTAATTACATTTAATTTTTCACGTGAAGTCAACAAAGCTCAAATGTTTTCATCAGAGTGACATGTTTCCATACATCACGCAACCGGATTCCCATTTGACTTAGTAAATCATTAAAGGTAGTGTACAGCCATATGTAAAAAGCAGTTTCAGCTCACATTATTTAAGATATCATTCGCATAATAATCTGCCAGTCTTCTAATTAGGGCAGCTTTTTGACTGAATAAACGTATATACATAATTATCCGGGAATTTTAAAACTGCCCCACATGCGAATGCTTATCCCTCTAAATGTGGGTTTCATTTAAATATCAAGTTCAGAGACATGTTATCAGGAAAAAATGTCTGAGTATGATTAATGCTGTTTTGGAAACACCTCCGCGTTTTTATGTACTCTATGACATAAGTGACACGTCGAAAAATCAGCATCAGCGGTATTCGTTTTGCTATTGCATGACAATAATCATCTAAAGAAATGCAACAAACTGGTAAAATAAGTCCACTTAAACCATGACAGCCGATACTGAAGCGTAGTAGAAAATGAAAGTGTATTCATGCTAAGATTCCGCTTATATTTGGTATCATACGGTGCTGCTTACATTTTCGATTGGTCGGGAGGCACGTGGTAACACACTCGCTTTTCCCTAGGCGTCCGAGGTTTGATTCCAGGAATGAAAACGTAAGGTTGTCAGCTGCCCGACAACGTAGGTTTTCCCCGTGTACCTCGGTTTCTACCACAGTAAAAGCGTAAAAGGCAACTGGATTGAGTAAGCGAGTAAGTTGGAAAATCTTTTCCGTAATTGTTGTAAGATAAATAAAGTTCAATTAACACTTTCGTTTCAAGTGACACATAAAAAATACAAAAAATAAATAAGATTAAATGAGATAAAAAATATATACAATAAATAAGGAAAAAACATTATAACAAAATAACATGTCAGCCGGTGCAAATGTACATTTTTATGGAGATACTAAATGAGCTGCGGATTAGGATCTGTAAACATTCGATGCGTATATACAGCTTTAATTTAATACCGATGTCATTTTAATGGACATTTCTTATTGAAGTTCCAGTAAAATAAATATTACCTTTTAAGCCAACACTTTTCAAGTTCAAAACAGTATTATCAGGTAATCTGATTGTTGTGTTGCTTACATTCAAAGAGCTAACTATACATGAATGCGGAATGATTCATTTCATAGCGAGCGTTGTTGTTTTTATCAACTACTAAAGAAGCCAAGTGAAATTACGTATTGAATAACAGGAATACATGCAGTTGTAAGGTTTTAAAAAGTATTCCGTGACCGCTAATCAGTTAGATATTCTAATCTGATAATCTGCTTGTGACACAATCAATCTTTGAATGATAGAGGCTAACAGAGAAATTTCATTCTAAAATAAATGAAAAAGGTTTCATGCGCAATCAATCTCGATTTATCTACTTTATCGTATCAATCATGCTTGCAGATTTTAATCCGTTTACAATAAAATACTTTGGTTTCCGCTGAAAAATTGCGGTAAATTGTAGTTGGCTTCATGTAATAATTTGATAAGAACCGACCTTGGGTTCAATATATGTTTAGTTCTCCCTAGACATGTCGGAAGAATCTGTGTGTGCATCATTTCATCTTGTATTAGCTGGATTTCACTATATCAATATTACTGTGTTGTTACATTTCACATGTCGAGACATCGGATCGACATGCTGATGTGCGCTGTTGTGGTTTTTGTTTGGTAAAAAAGGCAATGTAGAACGACGAGTGGCGATTTGATAAACACAAATGCTCTTCCATATAGGTAAAAAAAAATGTCATAGGTTGAAATCGTGATCTTGAACGTCATAATTGGATTCAAAACGAATAGATAAAGAAGCTGAAGAAATAGGAACCAAGAAAAGACTAGTGACTAAACATGAGAGAGAATTACGTCTGATTGCTGCATCGTTTGTTAAATCCGGGTGAGTAAAGAGGAGAATACGTGATCAGCTATGACTTAAGACACTGGGGAAATGTCTCAAGTAATTTCGGACAATAAAATGATATTGCCAGCGATCGTTTCGTTATAATCAATATTAACTAAGAAACGTGTTGCTTTGATTCCATCATTAATTATTTTAAGATCTACAAAAGGCTCATGTGGCCTGCATCATTCATTTAACAAAGAATTTTAAATATGTCAAATAATTTCTGAAATAAATTCCCTATTTGATCTCTGCCTTGTGGTAAACAGACGTCAGATTTGCCATTTACAAAAAAATGTTTCATGCCCACTTTGACAATATCAATATCCTTATACCGAAGAAGGATGTTTAAGAACCGACATTTCCCTTATCAAGCCCCATATCTCTGATACCAGACTCCTGGTTGATACTATACCAAGTTCCTTTTTACTACAGGTATACATCAGACCAAACTGGGAAAACTGGGGGATCCTGATATTGCTACAGATATATCAACAGAAAATTAATTCAAACTAAAATCGATGAAACAATGGCAAAACACATTAACAGTAGAATGTACATAACTTTTCCGTCAGACATACTAACGCGCATCAAACATATATAACTGCATGCCGCACAAAGAATATTTTCAAAACTCTCACATTAACCAAGATACACGTTTTATTTGTTGAGTTTATTACCGTACATTGCACACAATGTGAAAGAGAGAAATTTTTAAGTATAGAATTTACAATGGGAGCAGAGGAAGTAATGCAATGAGAAAACTACATACATAGCTGCTGTACCAATTTGAATTTTTAAACGCTGAAAGAAGACATATCATTCGATAAGCAGGTTATGCATTTACTCTAAATTGTCTTTTTATTTATTTTTATTTTTTATTGCGAAATACAAAGAAAAACACGGGTATATAGTTTTAATTATGTATGTGTGTTTTCGATATCATAATTACCTAACATAACCGTAATAATAAAGGGTCCAATACCCGGCACATCATTACCCAGTATGAGGGTTTTCTTTTTTGGATACCGCATCCTGTTTCCTTTTGAATCCTTGATGTTTGTGATATATTTTTATGATAAAGATATACGTTCAATGTCTTATGTAGTGTTTCATTTTTGACACAATCTCTTAATACATCATCTGCGTGTTGACATCTTTAACCGAATCTGTACAAGGACATGCTAGTAAAGAAGAAATGCGATGGTAAATGTGCCATTAAAATGCAACGTCACAGTTAGCATATTTTAACGAACATATTGTGTACACAGATCTATCATTTCTTGTTTTAATTCAAAATTGTCACAATATCCAAACAGTTAAGCAATTTATTATATAATGTTGGAACGAACTTAATCGTTGCTTCCTCAAATTGGTTTTGAATCTATACATGGCGAAATTAGCAAATACGGTGATAATTTTCCGCGTTTGACGAATCACACAAGGATAGAATAGGATATAAGAGGATAGGGTTTTGATTTAATTTAAACGTGCAAAGACGAGAATATATCATACTCGGATATAGAAATATGACGTATACAGAGCGTCTGCAGAGACTAAATCTACTAACCTTAAAGACCTTATGATTGACAGAAAGCATAATTCAGCGTGACAGAAATAAAAGAACAAGAGGTAATTCACATTGTTTAAAAAACACACTGTCATCTTGGTGTTAGGAAAACTATTCTATACTTTCCATATTGTTGATGTACGGAACAGTCTTCCTCAGAATATAGTGGAGTCGAATAAATGTTCTACAGTTTGAAATTGACTTTGGTCAAAACTGTAAACATGACGATGTCACTCTCAATTGACAATTGAAGATTATTTTGTTGTACATGTATGTTATGATATGGATATAGAGGCTTGAAGCCTGTGTCCATTATGAATCATCTCATATCATGTCATATGGTATATTTTATTATACAGCAGTTTTTAAATTTAGTCTGGGAAAGACTTCACATCTCAGTTATTTAAAACGAAACACGCACACTTACAAACTCTTACCTGTTAATGCTGGTGGAAGGATAATATGCAGATGTTCACTGTCCGTACTGCTGTCAATTAACCAACTACTGAAGAAGTTTTGTAAGCACAGCGGATCTGAAATGTATATTGGATAAAATCATAATGTATCAGATCTATATCCACTTCTGTCACTATATAAATGTAGTAAGTTACCTTAAAATATTCATCTACAGGGACGGAAGTTTAGGAAACTAAACTGATGTGTTTCGAAACTCTATCTTTGATAAGGAATTGAAACTAAGTTAGGGTACCTCATTTAAATAACAAAATGAGCTTTATAAGCAGAGTTTGTTTGGTTGAAGAGTTACTTATATGTTTGAAACAAGGAAAAGGAAGAGATAAAAAGAGAGAGAGAAAGATTCGCTTGAAATTCGACTGCATTTGATCAGAAAAGTTTGAAAAGCGCTTGGAGTCAAAGCAAGTTAACAAAAAATCAACATGAACTGACTTTTATGACTTAATTTGCAGTTACACTGTTCATTAACGATACAAAATGTATGTAACAATAGGTAAATTAATCGTGGTTATCTAAATACACACGTGGGTAAGATTTTAAATGTAACTGACGCCTTAATGTACGGGACATGAATGGTGTTTGAAACATATGGATGCTGGGGTATTGTTTTAGAATTTATTTGTGCAATAGATGACAATTCAATACAACTATGAAATCAAGGTAACGAAGGAGATATATTTCCTGAAATGACATACAAGATTCATCAATGGACATGAACAGATGCAATGAAGAAATAATAAAAAACCTTAGGCATAAGTTTGATATATTAAGAAAATGTAGAGATATATTAAACGGCATGTGACCGGACATGCGTATACAAGTACAGCTGCAATTTAAGAGGATTGGACAAAATACATTAAGATTAACGAAAAAATGAAAATAGCGCCTGAGGCGGATAAAAGTAATAAGAATAAGAAAAAAATAGCTTTAACGGGTCAAAATGCGTAAAACTTGGATTGATGGATGGATGGATGGATGGATGGATTTTATTAGAAAAAATAATTGTTCAAGGCAGATATGCTTTGCAATGATATACTCCTGTAATAACACATGCTTTGGGTCCGATCGATTGAAGGGAAACGTTGTCAAGAAGAAGAAATTAATCGAATGAACTGAGTCACCACCTCGGTCATTAAAGTCATTAAAACAAATTGTACGAGATGAAACCTTACCTTTCAAAATGTAGCAATATGTGCGAACGATGCTGGAGAGAAATTTAATCTATTCGACAGTACTAACTAATTACAGGGTCAATAAACTTTGGAACAGTCGTCGTAATTAAGAGTATCACTGGCGCCAAAATAAGGTGCGGTAATGACACTGGTCAAGGTTTAAATCCAGATTAACATCAAATCTATATACTCTACAGAAATTATTGGCTGTTACATACATAGTAAAACCTGTTTAAGTAAAGGTCATCCCAGCATGTAATATACATGCAATGTTAGTTTTACAGTTTCACAACGGAGCATTGAAGCGTTACAAAAACTATACGCGTCTGTGATCTGGATTCAGTATATCATTGGTAACAAGGGCCGACGACAAATCAGACAAATTAAGTCTTCCATGTGTTTAACTTTGAAGCTAATTCCAAGTCTTGCTCTTTATTTAAACTGATGCGTCCCCATTGTTTCTTCAATGTTGACAAGGCTATAGTTTAATCAAACCTCTAGTTCATACGACATTATAAATATGTAATTAATGGTGTTTGTATAGTTCCTCTATTGTAACGCCTTTTCTTATATTGAGTACATTTTCAATGAATATCATGATTCCTTGTATTCTATACAGCCATCAGTGTGTTTTACACAAATAGTTCGCAAGCTTATCTTCTACAAAGACTGAGATAAAAAGATGTTTCCATATTGTGTATAATGTTCAGGTAACCTCTATTCTAGTAAAAACATTCTCTTAGCTTTAGGTTATTGCCAAATACATTTTCAAAATTAAGATTGAGATTTTTACCCAATCGGACAAAAATATCCACAATGGAGAGTGTTTACTTGAAACTCTTTTGCATTTAAATGATAAAAAAAACAACAAATTGTACAAAACACTCACACAAGTGAAAAGCACGTTTTGAACCTAAGGTACAAGTAAATATTGTAGAGCAAAACAATGAATTAAATTGTCAGTTATACTAAAGGTCTGGTTTTCAAACATACAGGCGACCTAGCCAAATCGAAAGTGAAAGAAATAAATGTCAAAATTTAGATGGGAAGGTGAACTTAGCAGATGATTCAGTAAATGTTACAACTTATATTTATTTTATGACTTTAGAAGAATATCGAATACATGTGTATATCCTGAAACGTTCCACCAATCAAATGAGTGAAAACGTGGCATGCACGATACTGCAAATACCAGGAACTTAAAGTCCACCGGCGTTGTCTACCGCTACTACTTGCCGTCTCGAAGTCTTCATTTTCCCTATATGTTCTCTTTTTTTCAATAACGCCGACGTTTCCAAAGTGTAATAATGAAAATAACAATAGAGGAAAAACAAAACCAACACGTAAACTATTTATTGGTTGCTTTATCGGAATCGTCAAACTTCCCATTAATTATCAATTCAATAAGATCTTATATACAATTCGTCATATTACCTGTATCTAAGTGAACAACATCAACAAGACCACTGATTCCACTGTTGTTGGAGGAAGCACTTCCCTGGCTAGTGCACTCATCAGATTGTTCATCAGCCATTGAATCAGTTAGATTAGTTAAAGACACCACTTGAATTCGCTGAACATAGAAGAGGAGGGTTAAAATTTATAATAGTGAAAAAACGATCGCATTGTATGTCGCCACAAGACAACATGCTACAGTAGTGGGAACGTATAATGTTACACACGATATGCAATTTGAGCACGATAGGAAAACTAAACGAAATGTGTCATCGATGTGCGAACGATATGCGGTTCTATCGAAAAGGTGTTGCTATCGTGGTTCATATGAATTCAGAAATCACTTTTGAATAAGTGTGGATAAGGTAAACGTATTTCATATATAGCTGAGTATATTTCCTAATAAGGAATTGATTTAATGGTCAGACAGTTTGTTTGTTCACAAGTTGCCACATCTACCTAGTTGTGTTCGTTACACTAATTTCCAACTTCCGGTCATGGTCTGGTTGTATTTCGATAAAGTCAAATTCAAAATAATCACCGGTCAATATTTAATACACTATGACCGTTTTTTTAGTCATAACTACACCAGTTTTCCGTCTAATTTTCAATCTGTAATATTAATCAACCCCTTTTTTTACCAAACAGCACAAAATGTGCGATCCGATAGCACAATAGTGGCTAGGTAATACACCACTAGATACGATGTGCGGGCGAAGATTTTGGTGCGTTGTACGATATTACAACTGTATAAATCAAATTGCCATTGTTTTCACACCACACTCCAGGTGTTGATGAAATCATTACTTCGTGTAATGTCAGAGCTTGCGAAAATCAGTATTTCTTTTAACGAGATTCATTACGTTTTGAAACTAATTTCTTGACGACATAAGACTATATAAACACCCGATATAAAAATGAAAGTAGGAAACCACTTTCTTGATTAGTGTTTTGTTATCCAAATCTTTCTTCAGTTTTCATTTGTGTAATTCTGGTCTGCCTAGGACAATATATCCATATTTAGAAATATATTTCATAGCATCGTGTACATCGTGTGATAGGATAGGATACTAATATTGATTTTGAATTATTACATTAAATGTTCACATTGCTCCTTCTTTGCAAAGTTCAGAAATCGAGGGAGGGGGCTATACTTTTGAGCTGTGACCCGGCGTACGTCTACTGCCTTGCCAGGGATCTTTACATATCACAGGTATTTAATACTTATCTTGGTAAAGCGGCATGTCATGTATTATAATAACGTCACAAGTATTTCCATTTTGAACTTTGACCGACATTAAAGATAATTTTCTAGGATCTATCACACTTTTTGTCACGTGATCTTTATACATGGGATATTGGTTCATCTCGGCAAGGTCGTGTATCAGAAGTGACTCTGACCTACACCAAAGGAAACGTTTGTCTGGGCTTAATCAACTTAACTATTTACTTCAGTTTCACACTTAGGGTATGTGTCCACCTTGGTAAGGAAATGAAAAACTAGGTCACTCTTTGACCTTTCACCTTCATCAAAGAAAAGGTATGTCAAGACTCTATCTCCGATACTACTGGTCACTGTAACTTCACATTTGGGCTGAAGGTTCACCTTGGTAAGGCAATGTGTCGTGTATCAAACGTTGATCACTCTGACTTACGTATTAATCTATGACACTTCATCACTGCATGTTTTGACCCATGAGCTCTATTTCCTACACTTTTTGCGACTAGAACTTCATACTTGAGGCATGGGTTCAGTTAAAGTATATTCTTGGCATACAATATCACTTTCGTTTAGTGACTGTAATTCGCTAAATTGTCTTGTTTTATTATTCGTATCATGAAATGCACCTGGGAAAAGTTAACAGTACAGCGAAAATAAAGATGCATTAAAACCTTCGACAGGGCATCTAAAAAATAATCTCGAAATATTTTTTTCCGCGAGATGAATATATTTATAGCAGCAAGCTTGTACAAAATTTGATCTGGGGAAATGAAAAGAAAAAATCTTCTCAAAATTAGGATATCACATCTGATCCTCTGACAAGCTATAGTGAATATTTTAAAACCAGTTATATGGATATACATTTAAAACCAGGTGTCGCTTCAGCACTTCTATCAAATAAATTCTCAGTGGTCGAATGAGGACAATATACCGATTTGTAAGAACACATCTTTCTGAGAATTTCAATTACTTTTCAATTAAATAGGCCTTCTTAATGTAAACAATACTGCATTCAATAATCAACAAAATTACACATACGTCCTAGTTTTCATTGGAAAACAAACTTGAATTACATTCTTTTTCCAAGATCTCTTATATGACGTCTGACATATGAAATCAGCAGATAGCATTGATAATGTAAAAAGGATGGATTTGGAGCATCACAAATATTCTTTTTAAAACAAAGTTGATTTGAAAAGAGTGAAACCTTAACGTCTGATACATTTTTAGTTACACATATGTCTTTCGTCTTTTTACGCTGCAGATTTAAAACGACATAATGATATTTATACTCACTTTGAGGGCTTCTAAAGCCAATGACGAGATTGCATCTTCAATTTGTTTCTGTATGGACTCTGCTTTCCGACAGGACACTATAATTACTTCCAACTGGTTACAAAGTCCTCCTTGCTGTAAAATTGAACATATCTCAAAAATCTATATTATAGTGAGCAAGACATTCAAAGTATGAATGGCTTAAATAAAGGCTCATTCACTTTTACAAATTACTTTCATCATAGTTAATTGAGTAATTACGGAACTTTCCAAAAACATCTTATGTTTTTATCATAAATTTCTTACATTGATATAAGGCGTTTTTCTTCAATAGAACTTCTCACTTTTTCACAGTACAACATATTTTCCAACCATATAAGAAAGTAAAATGCCACGTGTTACAGTTATAGAATCCAACAAGGGACTCGTTCACCCTGTATCATTCACGCAAACACATTCTATTGGCAGGACGTTAAAATATGCAAAGATGAACCATTCAATTAAAATCTAACAACAGTATACAATTTTTTCAAAAATCGCATTATGAATTCCTGTTGGTAAGGGGAGCACATCCCATTGTTTCGACTTTGTAAAGTAACTGTGAGCCCGTCTCCTTACTATATTACGGATAAAATACCATGACAATAGGCTCTTCTTACAGTTCATAAATAGTTGATGATCTTTCGGTGTGTTTATACTGTTCTCTTGGAATCTGTTGAAATCTTTTCATTTTAAAGCAACAATAATGTCATTTAGTTAACTAAGCTTATAAGTGTTATCTTTGCTACTATTTATAATGCGATAGATTACACAATCAAGAAAACTGGAAAGATTTTCTGTCAAGCATGCCTAGCTTTAAATATCTAGACCTTTTGACCTTGAATGTGAATCATCCGTTTGTACAAATTTGAACGTCCTTACCCCAGCATGCTGCTAGCCAAATATCACAACTAAGGGCTTGTTGGCTATAAAGAAGTAGCCGATATTAGATAATTTACCCCAGTATGCTGCTGGCCAAATATCAAAATTCTGGTCAAATATCATAGCTCTGGCTTCTTGGTTATTTCAGAAAATTTATCACATTTCATCCATAACCTGTAACCTTGAAAGAGACCTCGTGCCATTCATGGTTTCATAAGGTATGAATAATGGAAGTCAATTCTTTTTCATTAATGCTTCCCAAGATGATTAACAAAATATGCAGCCTTCGTATGGCAACCATTCAGAAACGAGTGAAAACCATCTGAACTTCCACTGTAACACGATATACAAACTTACTTTATAATCCCGAACCACTACTACACATGTTATAATCATACACAATCTGGGAACTTTTCATGATCTTTATTAACATTGTATATGAAGGCAGTTCAAAATATAAACATGTACATTTATCAATTGATTCCAACACAGCTGCATTGAATCACATGGTATTATACGAGATATACTGCTTAAAGTTAATTCTCGTCGACTACTATCCTGTGTAAGTCAACGACAATCTGCAATGAGACGTGATATATAGGTCATTTATAGCAACTATCTACCGACTGAAAATATCAGCACAGATCTCGCTCACTCATGTGAAATATGTATTGTAAAATCCATTTACTTTTCCGTTAGGCATAATCATTATCACCTGAATTCGTGCCTGTACATTAATATGAATTACTTCAATTTCCACCCACTCAAACATAAAATCTAATGTTTAAGAAGGCCAGAAATTCTCAATTTTATAGAGATAGTTATACAACATTTTCATTTTGAATTATTTTGAGTGAAATTGCGCTGGTAGCATTATGCTTGTGTGTCTTTAAGTACGTCTATAAATAAAATACCAATAGGTGGCGCTGATTTTGTTATATAGGTCATATCTCAACAAGCAATAGCACATGTACCTATCATCTTGGCAAAGGAGGACTTACTTTGATGATAAACATTAAACAGGTAAGATTAAATAGGACTTTTCTTTCTCTGTGATTACACATTACAGCCTATGAAAACACATATCTGTGCGAGTATATTTGTATTGTAGTTTGTACTGATTCCGTTCATGTAATGCATACATTACATTGCTACCCAAATTGTATATGTGCATTCAAATGTATATGTATCCTGTATGATTCACCCCTGGCAAATGGCATTCATAAAGCTGCTTATTGTATCCACCTCAAGTGATGCCACGATATATGTATACAATGTTTCAAAATGAGCATTCCAATACGATCTTAACCTGTTTTCAGTAAGTAAGTGCAAACTTAGCGTAAAAAAGATATTTACGAGGAAGTATGTGTACCTACGCATTTGTTAATAATCAAGCATTCAACCATGTTAGCTGTTACATGATGTAACCATTGTTTAGTGAATGCGATAATCGTAAACACCAGGCTACATGCATGCAATTTATATAAGTATGTACAGTCATTCTGATATCTGTCTTCTAGACCAGTCCACATACATGCATTTTTATATAGATATATACAATCATTTTTACATCTGTCTTCGAGACCAGTCCACATATATGCATTTTCATATAGATATGCACAATCATTCTGATATCTGTCTTCTAGACCAGTCCACATACATGTATTTTTATATAGATATTTAAAATCATTCTGATATTTGTCTTCTAGACCAATCCACCCTACATGCATTTTTATATAGATATTTACAATCATTCTTATATCTGTCTTCTAGACCAGTCCACATACATGCATTTTGTGTATTTCAAACTAACTCTCATATTATGGAGGTTTTATCAATGAATCTGTGTCCTTTGACGGAAACCTCGTTGTTGCCCCTTTCCCCCTTGATGTGTCATATGAGTCCGTTCATGGCGTTCACGACTGTTTGTTTGTTTGCTTTTATCTCTCATATCTTATATCTCATCCAGTTTTTCACCAGTTAACATGACTACTGTATCAGGTTAGCTATCACAGGTAAGAAATCACTCCACTGTCAACTTAAGCTGTACAGCATAAATAGGACGACTCTAGTTATCATCGTGTAAATAATCAAACCAATTTTACTGGCTGTGAGTAGGAAAGTTTTAAACGGAAATCTCTGATTTTTATACACTACTACGGTGACTAAATTGAAGATGGTTAAAGTAGGTTCGCAGAACGTCCCAAATTGATCAAAGAGGAAATATCCACAAAGTTTTAATGGGTTGAATAACATGTCGATACTGTCAACTACGTTCAAATACGATCAATATGACTGGTGTACGATAGGGTCTACCTTGTGCGTGAGTGAACATAACATTTGACCGTGGTTTTAATCGAACAGCAAAATGTATGGATAATAATATAAAAGTCTATACCTGTTCATTTATGAATAAAGAATATTGTTTATATATTGTGATATATTATATCACTATACACTGGTTGATATATTTATGAACACGTTTGTAGTACAAAATAAAGTAACTGATGTCACAAGTTACATGTAAAATTATAGCTACTATCAAGATGATTCCCAGTGATAATCCTACAATCGTACTTAACAATCAAAACTACAATCGCAAAATTGACATCTATCGTCTTCTTTTAGGTATCAAATCAACAATGTCTTCGAAACGTGAACACTGCAGTGTGTTTCCAGTATACGATGGTTACATTTTACCGAGCTTTCCGCCTCTACTTCCTGTACCAGATAAACAAATGGCTGCTGTCAGAGACTTTGAATCAAAAGATAGCGATATCTTAATCTGCAGTATCCCCAAAACAGGTAGAACGACCATGGTGTTTCAGTTTTCATGTATTAAAAAGTATAATTACACTCAAATTATACATTGTGTTCTCATTTGCAAACGTAACTGTTTTCACATGTGTTGTCCACGGTTTAAATGACGGGTGTCGATGACGATGTCTAAACCATTTTTTTGTCCTAATTTTCCCCCTGTTTCATCGATCTTGAGTTTAAATTTTTGTTCACGTGTTTGTATTTTCTGGTCGTTCCCAATGCTGTGTGATATCAAGATTTTGCCGTGATATTTACGGATATATTAAAGGTAAAACAACTTAAAAGAGTTTTGAATTAGCAATGTTTACAGTTACATATCTATTCAAAGTTAAAATCAAATTGACTAGAAAAATTAGCAAACATCTATAAACTTATAAGGCCTTTATATTCTTACCATAAATGAATTACAACTTATCTATTTTTCACTTTGCATTTACAGGTACTAATTGGTGCTATGAAATATTGTCAATGCTGGTACAAGGACACGCCACGTATGCCAAGGGGGCTAAAATAGCGGGTATGTTTAATTCAAACCTTTTTAAAGCTTAAATATTTTTAAATAAAATATAAATCCAATAAAACGTATTTCCCTTCGCAATAAAATGTCTATATTAAGATACTAAAGCTGAAATGTTATTTTCCTTTTTTGTGACATTGTATGCTTTATGTTTACGTAAAAACAATATATAAAGTAAAGTGTGCAATAAACATACATTTAAGGTTATTACTGTTTATTTATATTTCTTTTTTCTTAATATACGACATAAATTTCTCAACAATAGGAATTATTTCAATTTGTCAAGGAATTGTCATGACTCCCTATCATAGGGTAGTAATAAAATAACACGAGTAATAATAATAAAAGTATACTATATTATTGAAAAGAGGCGTTAGACTTATAAAAATGCCGAATAAAATTGCATCGATCATTCAGGTATGCTGGAAGCCGTAGAGGACTTCTCAAAATTGGACGAGTTAAAGTCCCCTCGTATTCTGAGTACGCATGTTCCATTTCGCCATCTACCAAAGCAGCACTTGGAAAAGGGGTGCAAAATAATCCTCTCTCGTCGCAATCCTAAAGATGTCTTCGTATCTTGGTATAACCACTCGAAACATGACGAGCGTATTTCTAATCCCAGTACATCAGAGGATGAAGAATTTCCCGGAACTTGGGAGCACTTCCTCAAAGATCAGATGGAAAACAAACATAGTATGTTCCCTTTCAATTTCATACAGTCACTAGTCATTAGTATTGGTGCATTTCGGCGACGTGATTTATGTTTCAGCTGAAAATTCATGAGGGGGGATATTTAAAAGTTGAATATCTCAATAAACAAATAAGGTAATTACATGCAAATTTTACACTAAGTACACTTGGTAATCTCACTGGCAGTGAATTGTACAGATTCCGAATATAGCACCAAAGGCAAACTTGACCATATGTCATTTACAACTCTGACAGTCGAGTTTTCATAGTTTTCCACCCGTGTTCACTCACATTAAGATCTGCACTTTGGGATGGCCACGTAAACTTCTGACATTATTGAATGTTTTCCATTCGGTAGCTTTCCCCGAGACATGACACGGCGTGTTATCTTGTAAAATCCTGTGTGTAATTGCATAATGTCTCGCAACAACAGGCCTTATATGTTCTTCCAGAATGGAAATATACTTATCAGTGTTTATTTTTCCATCAACAGATGTATGTGTTCTGACGCCAAAATAAGAAATGCATCCCAAAAACATCGCCGAGAAACACACATTTCGAGCAGTGTTTGATACAACCTTCACAAAGTCGGGATGTAACTACTCACTTGTTTTCCTCCATACAAACACTTTCTGTCAGCACCGAGTTTTTTGTTTGTTTCATCATTCAATATCATTATTTGACCAATTATTTGCAACTGTCCAATGAAGTTTTGGCCAACAAAAGTGAAGCCGTCATTCCTTGTTTACATGTCCAATGGTACTTTTCTTTAAAACAGTTCACATTTGAAATCCAAACTCAAAAAGTCTTCTTCTAACATTTCTTATTGGCAAATTACCTATCGGAGCATTATCATAAAGTGAAGTCACATCATTTTAAGTCCCTCTTCTATTGTTCTTAAACGATCCGAATGATCCTACCATCACATCTGATTTTCTGCCCCGCCCACTTCTCGGTAAAATTTCTATGCTTTCCTTCTCATGGAACCACTTTAAAAAATCCGATCAGTTCTTGGTTTAAGTTCTAAAAAACATTTTTTGTCAAAATAACATTTTAAACAATTTTACAATGTCTTTTTTAGCTGCTGTGTCAATTCGGGGTCTTTGGGAGCCATCGACTGGCAGACGACATTATAAACACAGAGTAGGGGTACAACACTATTTCATTGTACATGTATACAAACTGTCGTATATCCTGCGAATTGTTCCGTTATAAGTTTCGTCAGAATATGTGCTGTTTGGAAAAAGATAGATCTGAAAACAATAGGAATTCACTAAATCTACTTAATGACGTCATTTTTATGAGCCAATACGTATGGTCAGTGACTGTATATTTAGGTTCAAAGTATTAAGCACACACCCTCCAATTCAATTTCCTCGTGAAAAAAGTATATTTATCGAGATCTTATTTAAATGTAAATCATTTCCAATAACAAACATATAAAAAAATTGCTAAAGGTAGTGTCCAAATAAGGAAATGTCAAAATAGAGATAAGCGACCATGGCATTGTATCATGGTCATTCGAGATGGATTTCGTTTTCTCATAAAATTCTGTATACGGATCATCATCCTGTCTGATCACATAGGGTTCTACCACATAACGTAATATCTGATATTTCTAAATCAATTCCATTTGTGATGGTTCATATTGGATCTTTTATTGATGCTTTTCTTCATCTCTTGTTTTCAGATTTCTACGATGGTTTCTTTAATTACGAGAAGGCGTGGGATGAAGCCATCAGGACAAAACAAGTCACAAATGTGCATACGATTTTCTATGAGGAACTTAAGAGGGTATGGCTACTATTCGTTCAACTGATCTGTCGATTATATATAAGACTAATGTATTCTCATATTACATATATGTTAATACAGTACGCCTATTTTAAACAAAAGTAAATGAATATATCTTCTTCTAATCCTTTCCAATAAGTGTATTGAAAATTATTCATTAAAAAGTTTTATAGTTGGCAACTGCAAGATTGGTAGACCATAATGACGTGACACAATTCTAGATTTGAGTTGTGTTTCATGTCTTACATGTCGCTTTGTATAGCATGCGGTGGTCGTGGCATTTGGAAAGTTCCTTTGTACGAATAGCTTAAAAACAATTCATCTTGGTGCTCAATAAACTATCAAATGGTCCCCATGCACTTACATGTCCTGAGTAGGGATAGGGAAAAGGCAACAAGTAAAAACATGTATTTACCTCGAAAAAAAAGTATGAAAAACATTACTTTTTTTCATTTTGTTTGTTTATGTAAGAATATATATGTATTTCTCTTGCAGGATCCAGTGACAGAAATCAAACGCCTTGCTAAGCATCTAGAGCTGCCTGAAGACGATGAACTCGCGAAGGAAATTGCAGATAAATGCTCATTCAAAAAGTTCTTGGATGCAGTAGTCACTATAAAAACCGGTCCAGTGAAGATTGTGGAAGGCGGAAATCATTTCCTTTTTAGGAAAGGTAAATATCTAATACGTCAAAAACTCAGTCTATTCAAACCACTCAAGCATATAAGGATAACGACAGAGATAACGAAATATTTCAGTCACGTGACGTAAAACCATAGCAAGCAGCTCATATTCCTAATTCGCTTTCTTCCTGTCATTTTTGCCGTTTGACCGATTTGAACTTCCGGAGCTAGTGACATATTTAGGTTATCTAATCGTTGATGTTTTGATTAGTACGACATTATTATTATACTGTTGATCATGAACGTTTGTAGATCGCTGATGAATGTACAGGAGAGTAAAATTGAGGCTATATCATTGCTATCGATATCAATGAATCTGGCGCCAGTTACTTGGAAACATTTTCTTCTGGTTTGTAATGTCAATAGAATATAAGTTCTTATGAGTTCTGGCTCTGATCTAATGGTTGTGTTATACGTAAGGACTTGTATTCTATCTTTCGTCCGTTTTTTGGTTTGTTGTCAATATAAATACACTACCTGTGTGTAGATTGTACGAATCACAACTGATAAAGTTAGATTGATGAATTAAATATAGAATGCAAGATCTACATTAACATTTCTGGTCCTCACAGGAATTGTTGGAGACTGGAAGAACTGGTTTACCGTAGCACAAAACGAAAAGTTTAACGAGTTCCTGGACAAGCAACTGAAAGGAACGTCTCTGAAATATACATATGAACTTTGAGAAGCTTATGAACGTTTATCACAATGTTATGCACATGTAATCCAGTATATGTGAAATAATATAAAAATGTAGCTTATACTTAGCATTGATTGTATACTCTGGTGTTTATACATGATGTCCTCAAACGTTTATTCTTGTTAAGATTTTTCCTATTATTTTCTAGTGTTTATCACTATACTGGTAGATAGATGTTATTCCAGAATTTTAGATAATCAGTGAAGCATTATATCTAAATTATATTCAGTACAACTTGTACTTAAACAAAGAATCAATCTGAGGCGACAGACTCATTAAACTGAACATGTAGTAAAAGTATCACTGGGCAGACCTTACGTCTTTAGGTCATGAAACTGATCCGACAAAGAAGGTAGAACTGTTCCATAGCTAGGTTTACGAGTGCTGATGTTCGACTTTTTACAAAGTTTGCTTCATTTACATTTTTCATTGGTAATCATAGGGAGGTCAAGTACAATAATACTCTATCAAACTCTGGCATCAATCCTATTCATTGATCATGCAGAATAAACACAGGATTACTGAATTATGTTTGTTTGTAAACAACGTTATAGCCGCCAGCGAACTACCTTGTTGATAATTGATCAGTCTATCGATACTAGATTATGGTCAAATATCCGTTACATATATAATAAACACCAAATTAATTATACCTTAATTATAAGATTTTGCATATTACCTGATGAAATCGCATATTGTTCTCAAAGTAATCTTTAACTCTTGTTGTGGTCAGTAATTAGAGTGATGGTCAAACAATGACCATATGTCAAAGATATCATCAATTGGGGCAGCTGGTACTCAGCCGTGAATATTACGGGGTTTTTTTTCTAATCTTAACCTACGAATTTCTTCCGCAATTACAGTGTTCACTGAAAACTGTATGTCAGATTTAACGTCATTCGAAGTCTCGCAAAAGTTTCTTTTTCCTTCATATCTTCGTTCTGTAAAATTTCTCCGCTATTTTGAAAATACTAAAACAAAAATTTACTTTTCATTCAAAAATTTAAGGAATACATAATTGAATGTAGTATTTTCTCTTGTAAAGATTAAACATGCATCGTTACAGTATATCAAGGATTCGTAAGGTACCTTTCTGATGACCGGTGTCTTATCCAGGTATCTATTTCTTCAATACAACTCAAATCAAGTCAGTAATATCCAAATTAACTAGTAGATTGACATCCGAACTCGAAATTGATAGATAAGGAACAGGATCAGAATAAATCACCACCTATCAAAACTGTCGGTAAGACAACTACAGGAACTAAATGCATACCGAAAACGAAGGGAAGGACAGAACACATAGATACACTAAAACAAAAACCACTAGGTACCGAAGAAAATCCACAACAAAACAGCGAAACCGAACAACGGGAAAGGCACTAATAGAACACGGTAACAAAACGGACAAAATACAGGAGCCTACAAGATAAGGAATCAAAAGGAAATACATATTTCAAAAAAGCAAAGCAAAGTAAACAAAAAGGGAAGGGACAGTAACCATAGAGACATCAAAACAAATGAAAGACAACAATAGGAAGGTGTGATACTGAAGGCAGCACAAGAACAGATATTGAGGATAGGCTGAGGAACCACCAGAAAAAGAACTTTAATCGAAAATTTGTAGACTTTTCATATTTTCAGGGTATTTCAAAATGTAAAAAGATATCGGATTTTCGTTTCGGATGGATTCTCAAATTTTTTTCTTTTTTTTTCTTTTTTTATATAAAAAAATAATCAAACTAGAATCGGAAAAGTGAGATATAAAATTAAGTGGTGGTATGTCTATTATTTTAATCATTTTTTAGAAAAATTCTACGTGGTATATATTATCATGTCGGGTATTCAGTGCCTTATTTATTAATGATGAACATTGCTTGAAACAGATCGTGTCAAATAAGTCACTTTTCTCACTGGGCATCAAACTATCGTAAATTATCCTATAATTTCAGATGTATTCTATTAAAATTAATATGCATATTATGTATACCTATGTGTTTGTTATCGTCGGAAACCCTAGAGCCTGTCGTTTGAGTCAAACGACAGAGCACAGTCTCGCGGGTTTCCGACAAGCTATGTTTGTATAGATATATATATACTTCACAAATAAAATAAGTCAACTTTAAATGGGCGTTTCCCTAATGATATTTTATCAAAAATCAAACAAACAAACGCTTACAATGATATCATTAAATCAACAAAAGATACCGACAGGTCAACAGAATCTTAATTCAAATCTGGATCTTCTAAAAGGAGGACAGAATATGAAAAAAAGAAAACTTTACATGGAGACCTCTGAAAGAGTCGCAGAAGATAAGACCATGTGTTCATGAAGGGGAAGTGTCTTCTGTTTCATCGACGATACTCGCCAATCGGGGTAAGAAATGCTGTGTTCCCTAACATACAATCTAACGGTAAAACATGTCAAACTTTCTATCGCTCTCGGAAACTGAATGTTTTCCAATGAGATAATGATCGATACCATTTGTGAAACAGCCGTACTCTTCATCAACCTGCTTCTCCCGAAATCCTTTGTTGTGATTTTGATTATAACTACAGTTATATCTGTTACAATATATCACTCAATAATGTTTGCACAAAACAAGAAATATGGGCACCAGCAAACGTACCTGTACCATGTTGTGCGTCTGTCTCTGAAAATGTGCGCATGCCTCCTGTAGACCCTGAACCACACAACCCTTACCACCGGACACAGTCTGGTTCCTTGCATCGCCTATAGCCGTTCTCAGGTCTGTACAAGCCTGCTGTAGCCTCACAAAGTTATTTTTAACGTAGGACAGTGGGAGCAACAACTGAAATATAAAAAAGTCACTTCCGGAGATTTTTTTTTCTATATATCAAATGGATTTTATAATCAAACTAGTTTTTATCATATAATGAAAATATTCATAGGCATCAAATTTTAGAAATGTTTTGATTACACAACGGAAAGCTAGGAGATAAAATGTAATAAAAAATGGTGTTTAAGGACTGAGATGAATCTGTTTTAAACTGATGACGTCATGAAAAAACATCAAGAACATACCAACATGTCAACATACGCATAGTCCAAACTCAATTTCCATAAAAATGTGGCAAAATATGAACAGAAGAAAGAATTACACTGAGACTCCAGAAAAAAATACAAGTAGAATAAGACTAAGTGTTCCGGAAGAGTAAGCGCTTTCTGCTTCAACAACGACACCCGCCATGGAAATCTTGGTCATTCTGACGTAGTAACGTCACGTTCACAAATGAGAACTAGGTATAAAACAAAGGAACCAACAGGCTTACTAACGAGCATCAAAAAAGTCATTTTTTAACGAGACGATCATTTCCTCGCGACCAGAGTTCAGGAGGTCGAGCGCACGAAATCATCAAATCCGAAAGATGACATATTTTTAACAATCTCTATTGTATTGTGTTGTATATCTTCATTCTGAGTCTACGACTCTTAGCAAGAATTCGTTTGACCCCGTCAACTAATGTAATTAAAACAAACTTAGTTGTTAATCATCAAAAGCATTAGCGCTTCAGATGAAGACATTTCGATGTTCTCAGACTTTATTATCTGCATTCCCGAGAAAACTTATCGTTGTTTGGTTTCTTCATTTGCTCACCGTTATATTAAAATTTGTCTGCAGTCGTTCCATTACAACAACAGTAGTAGATTGTCACTATAACGAAAAGCAATATTAATACAACAGGGCCCGCTGTATTGTGACATCACAAAGGTCTTGCTGGCCATTCCATGCTTAGGCTGTTCACGTAACTGGCTTTACTCCTTCGTATGAGATGAACATTTTTGTTAAATTCAACCAGGAACCTACTGAATATTCCCGGTATTGCATAAAAAATGTTGGTAACGTAAAGATAAATACAAGCAGTATTATTCCAAGAAACCATTCATTGGCTTTCAAGTGCAGTTATATCGACTGTAACTACATTCAAAAACACTTTATACCTTAAATACCATCATCATCACAAGAACCCTCTATAAACTGACCTCTGGGTAGGAAGTAAGTACCAGCATGCTAAGAAATGGCATCCTTGACGGTCCTCCTATGTTACAGGCCATCGAGAGGACATTCTCTAAGCTGGCACACAAGTCCTCCGCTACAGGGAGATTTGGCAAAGGAGGCGAAGCGTCGAGCAAAAATGTCCGCGCTATAAAAAACACAATTTTCGTTAACGCTAAGATGTCACTCTGGTGTTATTTGAAAGCAGAATTTTTATTTGAAGTTACTTTTATTTATATTCATATTTGCAAGCTTACGTAGACTTGTAGATAAACATAATACATATGTTTTATTGAACATTTTGTCAGTTATCATTCAAAGTAGATAGCGCTGGTTGTGGACCCATTATCGTGATTTTTAATGCTACAGACAAGTACAGTGCATTTGCAATTTTTGTGATTTTAAAGACAAAATGATGACACTTACAACTATGATCTACCAATCCCAATGATATCGCTAGGTGTTAGTATAATCGGAGGGAATTAGAACAGTGCTATATAAAGCTTTCCTTCACTTGTTATCATTAAAAAAATGTCTGATTGCATCGTCATGGTCGTCATGGTAATGTAGGCGATAAATAAAAAATCAAGACCCTTCAATAGCAGACATTTTGATAAAAATTTCATTTCTAAAAGCAGCTACAGTAAGATTCGCCTTTGCACTGACAACCATTTCTTTTCTCTAAATGTGATAATGGCTATTTATTTATTTTGTAAATCAAAACGACTGTATTTTCCACAAAAGGCTAATCACCATACACACACGCCTTCACACAAAAAAAAATATGATGATGATTTAAAAATCACGTCATACGATAACGCGTTACCAACAAATCAAATTACAGTATCATGTATATATGTGCCTGTACATACAATAACTGACAAGTTGATTTTCCATATCATCTCGTTTAATATATATATATACATAGTTTATGCTATTACCCACCTGGTTGTTTTCCGAGTAAAGTTCTATAGTTGTTTTGTTTGTCTAACAATGTCGCCCGATTCATCTTGAAATAGGTTAGATTTCCCTACTCCATAGCCTGGTCGCTGTTTATAAAAGAATTTCAACAGTGTATAAAATTGTCAAGGAAAATCGCAATATCCAAACTAATTACCAATGAAAAGTCAATTCAAATTGGATATGACATCACTTAGTCACAGCACAGACCATATCAGGGAGATCATTGTGCCAGAATAATTTTGAAGTAAAGTTCGAATTGTAAAAAGCGAATTTCTGAAGTCATTCGTCATTCACATTATCATGACAAGCTAGTTTACATGAATAAAGGGACATAACTCGTACAACTGGAGAAACACGACAGCGTACTTCAAGCTTTATCGTATAGTTAAGTGTTTGGAATTAGTGTGTTTATATGGAAGCCGTAAAATTAAACAGTTTTAAGCATTATATCGCCATGTTTCATTACCGTTTCTTTCTCTGTGCTCTTTTTCTTTCTTGATGATATGTCAAGCAATTTTTGCAGAAGCAGACGACGTCAAACCACTTGGAACGGATATATTGTGCATTAAATAAAATTAAAACCAACTCGATCCGGAATCTGTGAACGGTTGGGTAGAGGAGGAGGAGGAGGGGGAGGGGGAGGGGCGTGTCATGGGGGTTTGATGTGCTTATTTATTTATTTATTATTTTTTTTTGTAATTTTCACCAAAAATTTCGTTTTTCCACCGAGATCAAGAAATAAAGTGAAATGATCATATTTTGAGTTTAAAATAGAAACGGCTCATGGGTAACGAATATTTTCAGTTGTCGTGAATAAGATTGTTTGTAAAAAAAACAAAAATAGAGAAAATGTAATAATATTCAAATGCTCTTGATGTGGCAATACGTTTAGTTGCAACCTACCAATTGTATGCCAATTATCGGGTATAGCCTGAGATTTCCGATAACAAGACCGAACAATAATGAGATAATAAGATGGGTACAATCACATATACAAACATTACACTAATCCGGCACATTATGGTCACTTGGAAAAACAAACGAGCAATAGGAATATGAAGCCATGAATTCCAATTTGTATGATAATTTATTATCTTTTATTTATTTATTTATTTATTTATTTATTTATTTATTTATATATATATGATGTGCGTGTGTGTGTGTGGGGGGGGGGAGGGGGGTGTAGGTTTGAGGATGTGCGTGTGTGTGTTTGTGTGTGGAGGGGTGTGTGTGTGTAGGTGTGAGGGTGTGCGTGCGTGCGTGCGTGCGTGTGTGTGTGTGTGTGTATATGTGTGTGTTTGTGTGTGTGTGCTTTAAGATATTGCCATGTTGTGGCGTGTACTGTATAGTGTCATCTTTTACGTTCCATTGAAAAAAAGGCTCATACATGGGGTTACAACAGCAGTTGTTTGTTTGTTTGGTTGGTTGGTAGTTGGTTGGTGTCGTATTTTCCGTCCCCTTGACTTGCCCTATCCCTTGGCGGTGTCTTGCCGACTAATGTCGGTGTTCTGGCGACTTGATGTACAACAACGGATTTGACAGTTTGTCATTAGCAACCACTAATCAGATTTACAGCGTTTGTTTTTACCACTAATCAGATTTACAGCGTTTGTTTTTACCACTAATCAGATTTACAGCGTTTGTTTTTACCACTAATCAGATTTACAGCGTTTGTTTTTACCACTAATCAGATTTACAGCGTTTGTTTTTACCACTAATCAGATTTACAGCGTTTGTTTTTACCACTAATCAGATTTACAGCGTTTGTTTTTACCACTAATCAGATTTACAGCGTTTGTTTTTACCACTAATCAGATTTACAGCGTTTGTTTTTACCACTAATCAGATTTACAGCGTTTGTTTTTACCACTAATCAGATTTACAGCGTTTGTTTTTACCACTAATCAGATTTACAGCGTTTGTTTTTACCACTAATCAGATTTACAGCGTTTGTTTTTACCACTAATCAGATTTACAGCGTGTGTTTTTACCACTAATCAGATTTACAGCGTTTGTTTTTACCACTAATCAGATTTACAGCGTTTGTTTTTACCACTAATCAGATTTACAGCGTTTGTTTTTACCACTAATCAGATTTACAGCGTTTGTTTTTACCACTAATCAGATTTACAGCGTTTGTTTTTACCACTAATCAGATTTACAGCGTTTGTTTTTACCACTAATCAGATTTACAGCGTTTGTTTTTACCACTAATCAGATTTACAGCGTTTGTTTTTACCACTAATCAATCAGCGTTTGTTTTTACCACTAATCAGATTTACAGCGTTTGTTTTTACCACTAATCAGATTTACAGCGTTTGTTTTTACCACTAATCAGATTTACAGCGTTTGTTTTCACCACTAATCAGATTTACAGCGTTTGTTTTCACCACTAATCAGATTTACAGCGTTTGTTTTCACCACTAATCAGATTTACAGCGTTTGTTTTTACCACTAATCAGATTTACAGCGTTTGTTTTTACCACTCATCAGATTAACAGCGTTTGTTTTTACCACTAATCAGATTTACAGCGTTTGTTTTTACCACTAATCAGATTTACAGCGTTTGTTTTTACCACTCATCAGATTAACAGCGTTTGTTTTTACCACTAATCAGATTTACAGCGTTTGTTTTTACCACTAATCAGATTTACAGCGTTTGTTTTTACCACTAATCAGATTTACAGCGTTTGTTTTTCCCACTAATCAGATTTACAGCGTTTGTTTTTCAATCTATTCATTTTCATTGAACTAGTTAATCAATATATTACAGAAATTATTTCATTTAAAATTTTTAGTTGAAATTAATTTTGTAATATATTTTATTTTGTCAATTGTCACATTTTTGCAGATGTTAATACGAACAGTTGTTCTGGTATGGGAGACAACTCTTTCGAGGCTGGCAGAGTCAATGTGGCTATGTTGTCCTACCAGCAGTTACTTCCCTTATCATGAAAACCAGTGAGCCGTCATTTTGAAATGTCAGATTTGAGATCACCTCTTCAATAAAGAAAATGATAAATTTGAAAGTAGTTGTATCTTTTACCCTCAATCTCATTTCAAATAAAATATTATCCACAAATCGATTTACTTTCCGTGTATGAGAAACATTGCGAAGTTAAAACAACTGGTTTTCCCTAACCGTTACGAATATTGATCTTGTAACATTTAATGAGTTCACGGCAACTGTTTGTAACAGCAGCTCATTGAAATCAAGTGTATACCATTTACCTGAAATCCATATTCTCCACGGTACAGTCTACTAGGCCTACATTCTTACTACCGATCAATTCACCACTGAAGACAAGCCCTGAACTTCCAGGACGCGCGTAAAATTGATTAAGCCACTGTCAGCGAGCCTTTTCCCGTGGTATTACACCCAATAAACCTCAGCGTAATGAAATTCTAATTAACCCCGATTTCCACCATCGTGTAATGGTCCGTTCTCTTTTATCCCTTCCAACATCTTGATCATAATACTGACAAAACATCCGGTTCAACATTAATGTTGCAGATTCTTAAGATTTAAACACAAACATCCAATGTTTGTGACCATAGAGGTTGTGTGTAGATGCTGTTTCAGTTAAATGGTTGAGGGCATTTGATTATTGTAGCAATTACTTTCGTACATAATTATTCATATCTAGGGACATCCAATATGTTTTATGGAAATGATGAATATTGATTACACGCCATAGCGCTCCTCATATGAAGCTATTGAGGACCACACCGTGACGCGCATACGCGCTTTTCTCGCTCCAGGTGAACGATATTTAACTACAGATTATATAGCTGTACTTTATTTCACCAAATGTCTTACGACTTATAGGTGCAAGCTATTCATATACATGTATATATGTTATAGGAGAGTGTCTAATGCATACGTGTGCAAACTATAAACACTGAACATATTACGAACACACAAAATTATAACTGACTTACTAATCAATTACGCCTCTTAGTGGCTAGATATAAATAGTTTCCTAAATTTGACAACTCTTTAAAGCTATTCACAGATAATAGCTGGACAAGTTTGTAAACAGATGGACTTTTATAATAATACTTCTTTATATATTTTGACCTCAAATCATTATAAAAAGGACATTAAAAAAATGAAATGAACTCGTCCTCGACGTCTTCCAAGTTACATTTGCTACAGTTCCTATTTCTTCGAATGATGTTATTGTGTCTACCTATTTCGATATTTAATTTATGAGACGATTTCTAAACTTAGCACACATTTGTATTTAGACTCAATAGATTTAAGGAGATAAAACTGAATACAGTGAATGTCTATAAGATATTGATATATTCTACCTTTTGAAGAAACTGCTATCTTTGCCATCATATTTTGCTTATCTCTCAGCCTCTGGGCAAAGTTGGCTTTAGTCTATTTCAGTATTTATGAGCGAATCAAATTATCTGTTCAACTCAGAATGAAATAAAAAAAAATGTATTTAAAAAAAATAAAAAGTAGTAAAGATGAGGAAGAAAAAATAACTTCTTTTAAAATACATTTACATAATTGTCATTATAGAGACAAAGTTCAAAATATATATTCATGAAAGTTTAATCAATTATATCGTTTTATATTGGCATCTCAATGTGTTGTTTCAACCAAATTGAATACTTGTCTTTTATAAACAACTAGATATAGTTTACTAAATGTCCTTTTTATAACAATTTGCGTTGTAAATATATTAAATCATACGATAGGAGTAATACCTCCGTTTTCAAATTAGTAGATTTACTTAAAACTCTTGATGTAACTTGGGAAAGTATTTGTATCATGCTCTCAAACTGCGATCTAGTCTATTGTAATAAACTCACTAAGTTTTTGTATGTAACTATGAATATAGAAACAATGTCTGTCTCTCCTCTATTGTATACGATACATGTTGTATATTTATGTATTAGAATCCATAAGCTGTATTGCTTCAGATCAATAATAATAATAAGATCATAACAGTTTATTAAAGCATTGATTCCGGTTTTAAAATCATTTTTGTTGTCAACATAAAATCAATTAATTATTATTTACTCTAA